AACCACCCTTACAGAAACCGGGGATTCCCTGAGCAGATTATTTTTATTGATTTGATTTCAGGTGATCAAGAAAACCTCAGTCACAGAACCCGAAGATTCGTCATCATTCCCAAGAAGCCTTCCAATGTAGTCTATTCTAAGCCAGTTCATTCCAATTTACATCCTCAGAATGCCTTTCTCTGAGTATGTTTCCCATTAGCTTCCACAGAAATTTATTGTTCATCTTTATATGTTCGCCGTTAGCTTCTTTGTTGTTATTTTCTTGGCTTACGATTACACCATGATGATGGACGCGTTACATTCCTCCGAAACGAAGTTTACCAGGCTGTAAGATCCTCTTAAAAATATCGTAATTTGGAGATTTCAGGTTCTCGCGGTGCAGTGACTATTTTCTTGGATGTGACGCTGTGGAGTTTGGTGGACCACTACCAACGTATCGGAGGAACAAACTGCCTCCATCTTCAGAGTAGAGTGGATTGATATAAATCATCACTTCTCAGAAGACAGTCTCGATAAATGTGTCTGAGAATTCTTATAAAACATGGCTCCTTTTTGTATTTCTAGGTTTCAGAGTAACATGGGATGGTATTGATAGAACGGAAATGGCATCAGACAACTAGCAGCTTGGCTGTATCGCCCTCACCACAAAAGCCTATCTGTGGAAGCATGTCCCGAGCCCCTTCTACCCGGCCCGTATCCTCACTGACCTTCCTACTTCTGTGGCCCGGCTCCACGAGGTATGTTTGCAACGAAGATATCATTTCTGCTGTTAGGATAGCGACGGGCTACGGGCTGGACGGCCGGGGTTCCATTCCCGACATGGGTATGATTTTCTGTTCTCCACTGCGCCCAGACCGTCTCTGAGGTTCACCCAGCCTCCTATCTAATGAGTGTCCAGGGCTTTTTCCCCGAAGGTAAAGTGGTCGGGGAGTGAAGCTGGCCACTCACCTCCATCTAGTGACGAGGTTAAGAATGATCATGTTATACCTCCAATCATCCATACGTTTTCGCTGTGCAAAATATTGGGCCGATGTTTCTTTTAAATGTACTTATGTACGTAATATTGTCTTAGGAGTAAATTATGCTTTAAGCATTACGGAGAATATTGGTATTACGTACTTTATCCAGCACACACATACCGCCAAGAGGAACCAACAGTTTGTACGAACGCATCTTAAAACCAAGACACGGCTCATCCAGCACGAACCTGGTACCAACAAAAGCTCCCGACTAAGTAATATATACTCGTATATTTCAAGATAGTCTCAGAAGCTAGGAGCATAACTTGCGAACACTTTAAATGTGCCCTTCCTAGTATCAGTAGGCCTACTGTACTGTTTTGTTGAGACGGAAATATGTACCTAGAAATTGTGTCATATTCACCTGTGGGGGATACACAGGGGTTAGCGAAATCTGATGCAGCGAGCCAGACCCTGTGCTAGCCCTGTGCAAAACAAGAGAACGCAGTTCTGCTCAATGAACCTGAGCATGCGTGTGGTCAAAGTATATAATTTTGGTATATGCTAGGTGTATTAGAGAATAGAATGCCTTCTGTGGACGCCATAGTAGTCCTGTCCGTAGCCTAGTATCACCGCCCAAGCCGTCGGACAGATTTCCCTAAAAATTTTATATGCAACACTTTCACTAAACGCCCGGTAATTATGATTTTCAGCCGTATTGATCCATACAAGAAGTCTGTTTAAGAACATGAATGGACTTTCCCATGTGTCCCATAAACAGGTTTACCGATCCTGTTGAATTTCATATTTCATTATTTCTAAGCGCAATTAAACTTATAGTATGCGTTAATAATGTCGGGTACTGTGGCCCTAGGGCCGACTCAGCCTTTAACAGAAATGAGTACCAGGAATCTCCGTAGGGGTAAAAGGCGGGCGGCGCATAAAGCTGACAACTCAGCGCCATCTGTGAGCCGACTATCCAGAAAATGTGGGGGCCTCGACTTCTCACAACCCTATGGGCCTCCACGGCCTGTTACAGGGACAGTTTTATCCATATTTTACATCAGAACATACACGTATAAACCGGAACTGCTGATCCAGTGACTGGATCCCTTTCAGAGCCAGTTCAATCTAACCCACTTCATCATAACATAAACTTAAGTACTATGTCAATATAGAACGCCATCAGCGACAAGCAGGCAAGCGTCTCCCCAGGTGCGGTCCAGTTCCTGAATAATGCACGGCTATTTGCCAAAGGATTTACATTCAAAAGCGGTCGGGGCTTACAGTTCGCCAGGTGAAGCAATGGAAATGTAATATCTTCTTCATATAGCAACCCTACAGTTGGCGTGGACAGCTCAGCCAAACCACACAAGAGAGAAAGAATCGTTTTCAACAGCCCGGCGTGGGGTACGGCAAAATATACTCTACCGCATAATCTCGGGGAAGCACAAAAAGAGGAAGGGTATGAATGGGCAGATGATGGAGAGCGGTACAGATCGCCCAAAGAAAACTGCTGCACCTCATCCCTCATGAGGTGAAATATTGGCTACGAACCTGGGGCGCGGAAAGGTACACCGACGAGCGTTTTGCAGATGTGTTCTTTGCAGTTCACATGTTTCATTGGCCTTCCACGAACAGGGTGGCCTAAAGGTGACGCTCCAGATTCGTATCCGCGAGTGCTGGGTTCGAATCTTGGCCGCATACCGGTTGTCCTGACAAAAGTGTTTATCGTTTTTCTAAGTTCATCCAGGTAAATGGCGGTATAACGCCTGGATTAGGCCACGGCCACTTCCTTCCCAACCCTTTCCAATTAGATTCTAAAGGGTTCTGACGATGGTATATAACGCTCAGGTTTATTGGGTTTTTGGATTTTGACCATCGTCCGGTATTCTGAAAAAAACTATTTTAGAATACAGGACGATGGGCAAAATCCAAAAACCCAGTAATTCCTTTCCAGCAGTTTACCATAATCGAGTCGACATATTCCAACTACTGACAGCATCGTAAAATAACCCCCCCCCCAGATAATTGTCCTTAGTATTAATCCATGACAAATTCTGAGGCTTAGGCGTTTGCTTCTCTGCGCAGCACTGGGTTCATGCTGGAGCAGGTTTATCTTCGGGTTTCTTCGGGTTTTCCCTCATAATCATTATTCAACCATTGCTTCGGCCCCCCTCCTGAAGTATGTGATAACCATTGTCACGTCTGCAGCCTTTTAGTTGGAGGCTTCACCCCTGGCCTGCGCTTTGCTGGTAACAGGGTAAGGGAGTTGTACAAATTATATCATGTTACATATGTCACTCTGCTTTAGTAGTACATGATTTCCCTTTCATGTAAATTTGATCGTGTGTTTAAGCACCCAATAGACATAGATTTAATATTGGCGCGCAGACAAAACTCCAGCCGTCCCATACTCGGCATTATAAGAATATGACAGACCAGCTCACCGCTCTACCACCTTTACCCCTGATACAAATTGTAGATGATGCCTAATGGTCCCAGGATCCTATGTACTCGTAAAGGCAGTGGTGACGAAGAGACATACTGATGCTAGCTGGAATCGAATCTGGATCATCCGGTCCATTGCCAGCAATTTTACTGTGCTATGAAATATGTTGGGGTATACCCCGAGTGACAATTGGGACTTGGCGAAGCAGAAGAAATCCCGAATCCCACACCGAGATTTGAACCTAGGCCGTCGTGTTACGAACTAAGCCGATTTTCTCTTAAGGTCGCAGATTGACAAGAGTGATGCACAAATTTTTGGAGTTTCTGTACCCGACTTCAAGGACCGTTGAAGAGGGCGAATGATTTCTACAGTGTATTCACCGCAACACACAAAGCGCCTGACAGCCATGTTTTCTGGATACACGCCGTTGAAAAGGTAAACCTCAGGGCTCCCTTTATTAAAGGGAATAATAGGTTTAGGGGATGGTTACAAAAATCTTAACACGTGTATCAAATACAAAGTGGCTGTGTAATACTATGGGGGGAAGATTTCGAGGGTTGTCTGTTGTAACAACCTCATTCTAACATTGAAAGGGAGGGTAGCAACTTGATCCCTTGTAGACAAGTATCTCTGTTTCATTGCGCCTTGCCACTACGTGTTTGTACGTCGAAATGAAGCTCTTTACGAAGCCTTCCAACAGGATATTTAATGCGGAAGCGAGCCAAGTCGCGTAAGAAGCACCGTTGACACGGAAACCGTCTGGATTCGACAGCTTGTGACGGCGTCTTACAGCAACATCGAACTGTATTTGATAAAAAAAAAAAAAAAGGTAACGCTGTCCCTGTGCTTAACTAACTAAGCACTACGCCATGAAGACGTATGGGGGAGTGGATGTATAGATCCACATATTCTTGACCTCGACATTAGTTTTAAAGTGAGTGGTCATCTTCACCCCCGCCCCCGGTCACTTTACCTACGAGGAAAGAGCCCCAGGTACCCATTTGATAGGAGGCTGTGTGGGCCTCAGACCCAGTCTGAACGGCACGCAGAAGACAAAAATTGTGCCCCTGCCGTGAATCGAACCCCGGCCGTCCAGCCCGTAGGCCGTCGTTACACCTACTCCTCCTTGTCACGTTAATGATCACGTATTCAAATTATTTGAAGGTTTAGAACTGTGAACTCAAGAACGAGCTTTGTAGATAGGTACTCGCCGACTTTTCTGTGGAACGTTCTGCCTCCATCATCAGGGTCGAAGAATACGCCAATGAAGCACCAGCAAGAAGAAAGCATCCTCTGAAATGTCGGTGAAATTTTACTGGACTATCTAAGGCCTTCTGTTTGTGACACTATTATTCTGCAACAGTTAGCCGTCATAACAGAGAACGACACTACCAACCGAGCTGTTGATCCTTGCTAAGCTCGCTACACTGGCCAAACTCGCGAGACCAAATTGAAGGTTGTGTAGGCAGGAGAAGTGTATGCATGCGACATCTGTTATTGAATGTGGAAGGTAGTGTTTTGCGTGCTGTCAATGTCTGTCGCTATAGTAGCCTCTTCAGGCTAAGGTCCGCGTATCGGATACGGCCAGTGACATTTAACCTCGGTTCAAGTTAATGCATGATAATTTGAGCATTATGGCCCTTGGAACGTAACTCTTCCTTGCGCAGGAACAGTTACATGTACCACCTACTGTAAATGTTAGTAACTTCACATTTCGCGCACAGATTGTACTTATGGGCTTAGTTTTATTATGCTGGCGATTATTGTTATCATCACCATCCTAAACATCTTACTCTTTAACTGAAAGTGAGCGTGTTCTCCTGGACGCAGTAAATACAATTTAATTAATACAATTATTTAGATGAGCTGCATGCTTTTTAATCTGTTAATATTTTGACAATCTGTTTCACCATGATAAATGTTAATCTCTAACTCTCCTGTCAGCCTCTCCCGCAGGGTTCCAAGTTATCCATCATCTGTCAGGTGAGATCTCCCAAGGGAAGAAAATCTGTACATAATGTGGCTTTTAGGGTTATGGCCCTGCACAATCTGGTAGATGGATACCAACATATCAAACATATCATACAGCCTCCATACTGAGGGGAGAAATGAGACAAGTCTGGAAGTGACAGATTATGTGGGAGAGTTGGAGAAAGAAAACATGTCACAGGGGGCAGGAGTGGTTAGTCAGAGCCAAGGCAATGGATGAGGAGGTGGGGTTTGGCAGGCCATTAGTAGGTTATGCCCTGAAAGGGAAGTAACTCCTAGACCTCAGTATGATTATTCATTATATTTCATCAAATATGATGGGAAATGCCATAAGGATCCCTTAGTTATAGCAAAGATGGTTCAGGTTAGATCTAATATGAGAAGCATGCCATATGGAATTAGATAGAAATATCTGTGATGCAGAGGGATAAAAGATATGAAGCCACATTGGTCTTTTTCAGCAAATATTAATGGGTTACAAATTTCATTCCATTTATTCACCTTCCATAAATCCTGTTGAGAGTACATTCTCATGTGGATGTGGAGATCGTCCTTGTTACAGTTGTCATCCAAGAGCATGCACATTTGTATAAAATACTGATAAACATATACAATATAATAAATAAGTTAATTTTAGTAGTAAAAGTAATGGCAAACCTTATACAATTTGTACAGTTTTATGCAAGTCTATTAATTAAAAAATTCAATACTTCAAAATAATGTCATTAATGAGTTTGTATAACATACATTAATTATGTAATAAATTGAAATTAAGACTAGTATACAGTAATACAAAAATTGTGTATATCTAAAATAAGCATCTAAAAACCAGAACACGGACTGACAATCTTGTCTTCTTTAATTGTAAAGCATGACAACTACTCGCACCTTAAAAAGATTTATAACCAAAATATTTAATCCATAACTAATTATTTGTACTCTCATAGATACAACCCTTAGGTTAACAGAAACAGTACATCCTGAGGAAAATTTAAATATGGGCATCATTTAGATTTGAAGAATGAGAAAGAAATATACCAGGTAAGCAAGATGTATTGTCATACTGTCATCTTCATATCTGTCTTCAGGCTAGAAGATAGGATGAAGACCGCAGGATGTTGGTAAAAATCTACTAGACTATATGAAGTCACATTACAGAAAACACCAATCTTCATAGTCACTTCTGTGAGAACCTCAAACTTCACAGTGATTTATCTGAAGACATTCTTTGCAAGTTGGAAATTATGTCATTTCTGTGTTTATATTCTTATGACTTCTAATTTNCGGTGCTGCAGCGGCCACTTCTTGTTTTTATCGCCGTTCATGTGTTGTTCAGTGTAGGCGCTCTCTGTGTGTGTGTCGCTGCTTATCTTTAATACGTGTATTAATACGTGTACGTATATTGTGTGAGTGTAACAGGATGCTGAAATATAATATTCTAATTTCTTATTTATACATCTAGTGCAGAAGTCAAACACTTCAGAGATTCAATTACCCAAGAATATAATTATGTACTTTTATGAGTTTAAAGACTCTGTGTAGGTTAGAGGCAAGCAGGCCATCAAATGTATGTGAATTGCTATTGTCAAGGATAAAGGTAAAAGGTAAAGTTGACCCTGTGCTTACCTAATTAAGCACTATGCCATGAAGGCTTATGGTGGAGCAGATGTATAAGTATACATTTTCTTGACCTCAGTGCTAGTTGCAGGCGAGTGGTCAGCTTCATGCCTCAGCTACTTTGCCCCTGATACCCTTTGGATAGGAGGCTGGGTGGGCCCCAGAGCAGGTCTGGATGATGTGGAGAAGAGAGAATTCTTGACCCTACTGAGACTCAAACTCCAACCCCTCAGTCGTTCAGTTCATAGCCCATTGCTATACCGACTATGCTATCCCGTCTCCTAATTATCAAGGATTCCTTAATGTTCAGCATGCTAATGAAAATTGTCTGCTGTAGGGTTAGCAGAAAGATAAGTATTTTTTTTTATTGTTATTTAAATATCAATCAGAATTATATTCTATAAGCTAGTGTCGTGACATTGGGCTATTGAGCCCGCCTATGGCAGGATGAGGGGCCTCCCAGCTAATAAGCCTCCATTATTCGCTTGATGTCAATTGCAAGACATCAATAAAAAAAAAAGCATGAAGTATAAAAGGAGCACTTAGAGATACTTGGTTGTCAGATTACATAAATCATCCTCGCTTTAGGATAACTAAGAAAAACACAACGGAAACTTAAGTCTGTTTCCATCCTTACGTGAGGAGAAACACCCATTCTACTGGATTGTTCACAAAAAAAGTAGTGATAGTGGTCCTCACTAGGTAACTGATGGTCCAAAACACACGTGGGACCAAACTAAATCCATGAAAATGAACCTCCTTCCAAACTCACGTGAAAGAAAGCACCCATTGTGTTGGGTTCTTAACAAAAGATCTAGTTTCAATCACTAGACAAACCTTGGTCTCAAACACAAACATTGTAAATACGAGAGACCAGGCTAAGTCCATGAGAACTAATAAGAAAAATATATATTACAAATTGTTCCAAACACATCCAAGCGTGGAACCAGGATAGATAGAGCCGTAGAAATTTATGTCACGTAACAGAACTAATAACCAGATCCATGACCCCACGGCATGGACTAGAAAGGAGAACTAGTAAAAAACTAATAGTGTCTAACTAGCGTCAACAATGGAGTAAATCACATCTATCTAATTTAGAACATAATAGAAATCAATAAAAACATATCACGTCATACAGATAAAGTCCGAAAACCCAGTATCTCTAAGTGTTATACGCCATCGTCAGAATCCCATGGTAAATAAAAAGAGCTCAATAATATTTGTACACAATCCATATAAGATAATTAGGCAGTAATACTATTCAATCTAACCCATATGTAATACATTGGACAGTGCAGGGAGAAACAGCAGTAAATATAAAAAGGAGAATGTACAAATGCGTTGAAATATATAAGTGTATTTATACACACTATTGTAGTGACCGAACATAAAGATAAGAAACCAGATATTCATTGCTTGACAACCTGTTCATCTGACGCTGATTCCAAAGCAAATAATATTTATACCTGAAGACATGAAACTGCAAAACGTAATCTGAAAATTAACTGACTTCACCAAAGCCATTTTAATAAGGTTGAAGGAATTTTTCCTTGTGTACATGCACTAACCATTGACCTAAAAAGTATAGTCTATAAAATATTAGCCCAGTGTGCTTGTGTGTATGGGAGTGCATTTCACAATCAAAAAGAGCGGTTGGAAGCCCGTGGTATATAATGTGACCAACAGGTGATGCTGGAATAAATTACATGCTCTCCCTCTCTATTTGATAATATTTTGAAGTTAATTGTCATAGTTTTCTTGTTTCCAAAATCTAGCCATCCTTAGCCCTAGTTTTAAATAATTTAGGGTATGTACACTGTTTGATTGAAAATCAGATGTTAGAACAAAATTAAATTGCATTGAGTGGCAAATTTCTATTTGCTACGTGGTTAGGCATTAGGCACTAGAATTGTATCTTTGATATTCAACGACGTGATGTGATTGGCTAGCAAATTTTCTCTCAAAAAGCGAAATGGAGGCTGTGGGGGACGTTTGAAGACGGTGCATATTTTAAAACTATAATACGTGAAATGTCTGTTTTTACTTTTGTGAGATTCTCGAAATGACAATTATTACCAGGAAATGCACATGAAAGATGGTAAGTAAGTGCTGTGACTTGAGTTTCATGTCAGGTATTCAATTATGCATTCTTAGTGTAAATTTGTACCCGTAAAATTATGAGAAGTAAATTGACCCGAATCGTTTCATGGCCAATTTTTGTATGGGGAGGGTGTCACAAATAGTGTACTTCTACTTTTCCACAATAGGTAGTATACAGGATGTAACTGAAAGGTGTGGACAAACTTTGGGCACAAGTTTTGCCTACGAAAACAAAAAAATATGTCCATATCAACATGTGTCCGGAAATATTTAATTTGTGAATATGTCCATATCAACATGTGTCCGCAAATATTTAATTTGTGAGTTATAGCTGAAAGAGTACATTAATTCATGATATCCATTGCACACAACTCATCATGGATCGTAGCATCTGTGCAAAGATGACAGAGTAGTTGCAGATAGTGTGACAGGCATCCACAGTGCAATGGTGAAATGCCTCTTTGCTGTCAACAGGAGTTGCATACATAATGGTTTTTAGGTGCCCCCACAAGTAAAAATCTAGAGGATTCAAATCTGGGGAGCGTGGAGGCCATGCAGTGGGTCCTCCTCTGCCTGGCCATTGGTCATGATAGGTATCATTGAGAATATCTTGCACAGCACAGCTAAAATATGCTGAAGCACCATCACGCATTTACCACATTCGTGCTCTGTCAGTGGTACATCTTCTAAAAGCTTTGGTAGATCATGTAAAGAGGAAGTCTTGTCTGCAGTTGCCTATAAGCTGATGTGGAAAAACATAGGACCTGGCAGAGAATTGCCAACAGTCACTGAAGACATTAATGCTGAACTGCTGCTTTTATTCTTTCAGCTATCACTCACAATTTAAATGTTTTTGGACACATATGGACATTTTTTCTTGTTTTGGCTTGTGGAACTTGTGCCCAAAGTTTGTCAGCATCTTTTGGTTACACCTTATATATCTCACTGTCTTATTTCACTCCTGATTTATCATTCATGAAATGTAATAATCAAGCCTGTTAATGTAATATGAAGTGAACAATTTATTAATCACTTCATGCGTAAAATAAAGAGTAAATTTTATCCCGATCTGTAATTTACATAAATATAAATTTTCGTATTAATGCCTGTCAAACACAGTTCACCAAGTGACTCACACATCATTGTATACCTACTTACTTACTCA